CACTAAGCCAACGAACGCGGGAGATGGAATCAAAACGGTATGTTCCAAGTTAGGGGTCCTGTATTGAATTTGAACCTATCAGGAGAATACTAAATGATGACGTGTAGTGTGAATATGCCAGGGGCTAGTGATGCTGCGAAAAGGGGGTATCTCATCTATGTGAAATGATATGTAAATCCTCCAGAGAAACGTTCAAAAAGTAAAAGGTCTCTTCTTCTCCAACCCTCCTCGTAAACCTCCCGTGAGCCTCCTTGTCCGTCTTACGCCTGTGATCCCTTCATATCAAAGTCGTGCCCTTATTGAAATTATGGGCGTAGGAGAATTGACAGACCGTCTGTCAGTAATGTCTCCTCAAAAAGATGCTTCTCTAGGGCCTCAAGCTGAGTGCCGCCAGATGATGTGTCGTCTGTCCAATATGCATATGCAAGTGTTCATACGTCGTTAGTGCCGTGTAACCTGTAGTCGTAAGCCGGTAATCGTTTTTCGTCGTAGTTTGCGTATATGTAGGTGCCGTCTATAAAGTCTTGACGCTTTCTCATGTCTGCCGCAAGCAACACTCCCATACCCATCGTTGTATCATATTGTCAGCTTGGAGTTGGCCAACTCTTGTTCGATAGACCTTTCGATGGAGGAGCGTCGCTTGTGCATCCGGGGACTCTTCTGTAGCTCCTGAACCACACCCGCCCACCCCAGTTTGTGTCCAGGTTGTGTGGTCTCGCGATGACCGATAGCTTGGGTAGTTAGCCTCCGCAGCGGCGGCCGCTCTCGAATCTCCTCGGTCAAGGCGCGTGTCAAGTGGGCGTTCAAGTTGGTCATTGGGGGCGTGAAGGGGGAAACAGGCGTCGTCTTTTCAGGGTCTCTTTGCGGTGTTGTCGGCGTTGCCACGGGCACTTGACGTTCTGCTGTGACGTTCGCTCGATCTGCGACCACACCCATGTATACTACGAGGAAGCGCATCCTCACGAGATCCAGCCGGCGCACACGCTCCTCGAGATCGCGGCGCTTGCTCGCCCAGAGAAGGCGGGCGCTCAGGCGTAGGGAAGTGGCGTCTTCAGAGAGAAGCAGCAAGTTGATCTCTTCACGCAGGTCGTCGCCGCCCTTCTGGATCTCGCGCAACAGGCGACCTAGACGGAGCTTATCTTCAAGGCGTTGGACCTTGGCGACATCGCGGTCGTAGCTCTCGTTCTCCTCGACAGAAAAGTCGACGGCATCGATGAAAGATGTGATCTCGTTGGGAGCGACACGGTAGGCAGTGACATATGTTGTCAGGATCTGGGAGAGTACGACGAGGGAAAGGAGGAGCGCGGTCAGAATCAGGACGAACGTCCACTGGCGCGCCTCGGTCTCGGCCATGGCGGAGAGCGAAGCACGTAAGAGCAGAGTGTAAGTGGCGGGTCAACTGGCGAGAGACTACCGCACCATGATGCGACGGAAGGTTTGTTGGTCAATAGGCATTCGTATGTGGTCTCTACGACAGGTAGTGTTCGAAGTAGCGATGAGGCATAGGCAAGATGTGAAGGAGGAGGCAACAGTGATGACGACTGAAGTGTGCACACGAAATCGGAGGGGAGGAAGGGCAAGGAGGGCTTTCAAGGGCTTCGCGGTGGTACTAGTAGGGTATTACCTGTGAATGGCATGTATCCTAGGTATTCGTCCATACGGCAGCAGGAGATGGCCGTTCCGCCCTGCGCAGTGCTGTGCGCGCCAGTACGACGTTAGGGTCTGTAAGTCGGGTTCCAGATGCAGCGCAATCAAATAATGCCTCCTCTTCCCTGCCTTTCCTTGCCCCTCTTGGATGCGGCCTCCCTTGCATCTTTCTGCTCGTGAGGTGCAGCCACTGGGCGGCATGAGCCAATAAATGGCACCGAGGTCGCTCCTGACGGGTCTCGTTCGTCGACCGTGGGATGCGACGCTCCCATGGTTGGTGGTCTCCCCTGCAGCTGCATATGGGAGCGTCGCCTGTCACTGGACAGACGAGGGTGAACTTCTTTATCCAGCATGGCTTCACTGTGGCCCGAACGTGGCTCGAGAACCGATCCGATGGGGCCGGTGTTCTTCTTCTGCCCTAGACAGTGGGAACTTGGAAGGAGAGAGGGGGGGGGGGGGGGGGGGGGGGGGCTATCACCGAGGCTGAGCTTGTGACCAACAGTAGCATCCTTCATCGCGGCCCTCATCTTCGGGGCTTCGTTTGGTGGGATTTGCCTGTATCCACTGTGCTGCATATCTTGGACAGAGTCCACCGACTAGTAATAAGAGGGGAGAAACCCTCGGACGGATTGTTACTTTTGGCGGTAGAAAACGCGACTGGAAGGGCTAGAACCTAGAACGATTGAACCTGGAACCCAGCAATGCGGACGGCGGTGGGCGATGGGCGAGGGGTAAGTTGATGAGGGGTTGTCTGGCGGTCAGCGAGCGAGACAAGATGAGACGACTCGAACGAGGCGAGGACGGAACGGCATGTCTGCTGGTGCTGGTGCGGTTTGCCTAGCCGAAATCGTGATGAAGAGGAGAGAAGGTATAGGTATCCGTATAGTTACTGCGTAAGGTAATCAAAGTGTGCAGCTGCGGGTGTGTTCACTTGTCTCCAGTACCTTGATTCCAGTCAGGTACCTTACATACTTTGGAAGCGCCATAATGTGCCATCCGAACACTCCAACCTGCGGGTTGTGTTTGGCTCCACGCACCAGCCATGTAAGAGGCTGGACACTTGCATCTTGGATGGCTTACTCTCTTTTGACCCTTGCACTTGCACTGCGTTTGTGCTGCACTTCTGGTCAGCGGGGGCATTTAGGTCTCTGGATCACCGGTAGGTGCATCCTCACTACTTGGCGCTGCTAAAATAGTGTAAGAGGTTTGCTTCGTGTGGTCACGTCAACTACATATGGCGTTAACAGTCTAACTTGAAAGTAACAGCTTCCTCGACTAGACTCGAAGACTCGCCGTTAATAGCTGGAGCAATGGCAGGCGAATATGAAAATTCGATATGTCACATAGAAGGGAACTGATCGATCAGGGCATCTGAATGACAAAAGCACCTCGGATCCACTTTCCCGTTCTAGATCTCGATTACTACAAGGTGCTTAGTGAGTCAGTTGAACAGTGCTGGGTGATTCTGCAATCACTAACATGTTCAACACAATATGTCACGAAAGCAAATTAGGTTGATGAGTCAATTCATCACTACCTGCAGAACTATTTGGGGATATGCATTCTTCGTGCAAGGGGTATCAAATTCCATCTGCGTCCTCAGTTCTGCCAAACGTTGCCAACACCAAGACAAGTGTCATTGGCGAGATAATTTAGTGCTGTCTAGCCTCGGCCTGCTTCTGGATGTCGTGCTCGGCACCACGCTGCTGAGTCTTGCCCGTGTCGTGAAGACCCTCGTAATGCGCCTGGCCAGCCTTGTCGCCAGTAAGACCAGCGACGGCACCACCAATAGTACCCTGGACACGGTTGCCAATGCCAGAGGTGTAGTCATTGAGCTGGCCCTTGGCTTCCTGCTGCTGACCTTCGAGGTTCTGCTCACGGCCTTGCTGCTTCAAGTTCTGCAGTCAAAAGTGTCAGCATACTATGTGCCTGTGAAGCGACGGTGGAATTCGTGAAGCTTACCTCGGAGCCGACAAGACCACCAACAGTCTCCTTAGCAGAGCCAACGGTCTGGTTCCAGGAGCCGCCAGCGCGGTCGGGGTCGTCCTTGCTCACGCCACCAGCGGTAGCAGTGAAGCCGGGAATCTTAGCGGTAGCGTGGGAAGCATCATGTTCGAGCTGTGCCTTATCCTGCTTGGCCTCTCCCTTGTTCTGGTCGGCAGTGCTGCCGGTAAGGGTGCCGAGGAGGTTTTGGGCAGCGCCAGAGGCAGAGTCGACGTAGGACTTGAGAGTGGAAGTGTTGTCGTTGTTGGCAGCCATGATGAAGATTGTGTGGGTTGATTGGTCTGATGAGTCTTATTGATTAAACGATTTGAAGTACTTGTAGGTTGCGTGTAGTGCTCTGATGGATGATGTGAAGTATTGATGTTGAAGAGAAGTGTTGGTGCTGAGGAGGATGTATGGTATTTATCAATGGAAACACCACGTCAAGGACCCTCCACTTCCTCAGGCAGGCAGCATGTGAATCGCCATTGTTCTGGCAACCGCGATGGCATTCGCCAGGCGGAGCTGAAGGTGTGATGTCATTTTGGAGATGGCCCTTGTGGTTGCAAGAGCACAGGAGGCAAGGAGGGGACCACTTCGGGTCATTGTGGAGGACAACGCGGGATGGAGGGGCAGCTTCGTACCCTGCGCACCTTCCATGATGTCATTTTGCGACTTCACGCCTTCTTCACTAGCAACCGCGCCATCGTCTGCGGTCGTCCTTCCCCCCAATAACCTCCGCGCTCTTCGTCTGGAAAGATGAGACGCCTTGCATAGGCCATGTGAGCCCACAACAGACGTAATGAGGACCAGTCTGGACCTTCCCTCTCCGACACATTGCCATTTGAGGAATGGTTGATGATGCACTTCTTCCACCCGCCTTGGCAAGAGCTATCCTAAACTTGTAGGCTGTCAGACAAGGCCGTGCCACAACGACAACGCCTGCCTGACTGCCCCCTACCTTACTTGCCGATGCCATCGTGGGTAAGGTAGGCAAGTACCTACGGTATCTCGTATCCGTACTGTTGATAGGGCCATGGCATGTCCATCTTGCATCAGATTGCTGAAGAAGCCGGACAGCTGGAGTCATGCCGCTTGCTCTATTTGGCTTGCTTACACTGATTGACTTGGAGACAACGCACTCCGGACACCTGAGGAATCATGTGAAGGCTTACAGGTGGTTTGAGACATATGGCTTTCACTCGCAGGAGATATTCTTGCTGGCACATGGGAATTGTTCATCTGCATGATCGTGCATAGCTCAAGGCTTCTCTATTGTCATTCATGCTGGGAGAAGTCCTTGTGATGAGGTTGTTCACTACCATAGTATACAGGCCAAATTCTTCCAAGAAAAAAAAAAAAAAAAAAAAAAACAGCCGATTGCCGCCGTGCCGGCTCTTGCCGGCGCCTGGTCTTTACGACCAGTGTTTCAACTCTCCGTGGTCCCCGATCCCAACTCCAATGTCCCTGAGCAAAAACGAAAGGCTGGCTGTTAAGGTATCTCAAATATGGGTTTTAATACAAACTACTCCGGGTGGGAAAGACTCGGGTGTTTTCCTGCAGGATTCTCAGTGGGCTCGCAAGCGTCGAGTGCTAAGAGTGCAGGTGTTAATGCGCGGGTGCGCATCATGTCGAGCACAAGGTACTGCTCTTAGTGCTGGCTCCACTGGATAGTGTTGAGGTCAACGCCTTCCTGCACCAGCTCCCAGAGCGGGCTCAGCTCGCGTAGGAAGTCGACTCTCTCCTTGACTGCCTTGAGAACGTAATCAATCTCCTGCTCGGTGGTAAAGCGACCGATGCCGAATCTGATACTGCTGTGTGCGCTCTCGTCGCTGTTACCCAAGGCACGGAGAACGTAGCTGGGCTCCAGAGAAGCGGATGTGCAAGCACTGCCGGAAGACAGCGCAATGTCCTTCAAGGCCATCAGGAGAGACTCGCCCTCAACGTAGGCAAACGAAACATTGACGCATCCCGGGTAAAAATGCTCGGGGTCGCCGTTTTGGGTGGTGTGTTCCAGCGACAACAAGCCGTTAAGGAGGCGATCGGACAAGAACTTGATACGCTTCGAGTCGTACTGATAGAATTGTCAGCTTTGATATACCAACACAAGAAACCACACAGAGAGCAAATCGATTGGGATTGGGTCAGACAGGTTGCTGTTTATCAACATGGACGTCCTTGTCACGGGACATTCAGAAAGCCATGCATGTAGGAGCGGATCATCATATGGGTAGGTAAAATGAGGGGGGAGAAAGTAACGAAATCTTTAGACGTACCTCCATCTCTTCGTAAGCGATGCGGCACGCTTCGCCAAAGCCAGCAACCAGTGGCGGTGCGAGAGTGCCGCTTCGCAATCCTCTCTCCTGTCCACCTCCGCTGATGATAGGGTCGAGTCTGACTCTGGGGCGGCGGCGAACGTAGCAAGCTCCAATGCCCTTGGGGCCGTAAATCTTGTGTGACGAAATAGACATTAAGTCAATGTTCATCTTGTTGACATCCATAGGAATCTTTCCGACGGCTTGCGCAGCATCGGTGTGGAAGAAGGTCTTCCTCTCCCGGCAAAGCTTTCCAATCGCCTCCAATGGCTGGATGACGCCGATTTCGTTATTCACGGACATGATGCTGACAATAGCAGTGTCCGGACGAATTGTCGCAGCCAGCTCTTCCATGTCGATCAAGCCAGAGTTCTGGACTGGGAGATATGTGACTTCGAAGCCTTCATCTTGAAGATGTCTGCAGCTGTCGAGGACGCACTTGTGCTCCGTTTGCGAAGTAACAATGTGCTTCTTCTTTCCAGATCTGCCAAAGAATCTTGCAACTCCCTTGATGCTCATATTGTTACTCTCGGTGGCGCCGCTAGTAAAAATGATTTCCTTAGGGTCGGCACCGATCAGCTTCGCAATGTGCCCCCGGGCCTCCTCAACCGCTTCCTCACTCTCCCACCCGTATGCGTGTGTTCTCGAGTGCGGGTTTCCGTAGATGCCAGTCATGAAGGGTAACATGGCATCGAGGACGCGGGGGTCGACGGGAGTCGTGGCTTGCATGTCGAGATAGATGGGCCGCTGGCCCTCCTCCATCGTGGTAACTTGCTTCAGGACCTCTGCCATGGGGCTGACCATGACATTTGAGGCATCGGGAGACTGAGGAACCACATCAATAAAGTCTTTCTTGTCAAGCTTGATGGCCGTTTCGATGTTGACCTGCGCATTATCACGTTTCGTTTCCGATACGTATCTGCGCTGCTGAGATAATCTGTGGGTTGGCGCAACCGCCACCTTTGATAATGCGGAAATGCCTCGTGAAGGAACCCCCGGCACCTGCGTGTAGCGGCTAAGGCGACCTGCCTGCCTGAGGGCGGACGATGTGATGCTAGCCATGATGTGTTTGATGTTGATGGCGTAGGGAAGAAAAGGGACGCGAACTTCAGGGAGGAGGAAAAGGAAAAGAGAATTTCTAGAAGGAGGAGAAAGCTACCCTCGCTATGTGGATATTTTTTTCGTGACAAATTCGGAGACCGCCTCGGGGTCGGGGATAAACACACGGGCCGTGATTGGCCAGATTTGGCGGCTCCTCCCATTTCGATGACGACCACCCCGAAAAAAGCAGAAGCCTACCTTCAGGTACCTTACCTAAGATTGGGCGGTGGGCGGGAAGCCGAAGGTTGAGGTTCCCCCTCTACCTCGGTCACCAGAAAACCGGCCTCGCACCTATCACAGCGTCCAATTTGTCAGACAAACTCGACAACATCTTGTTAACTTTGCCTTGCACACAGCACCACAGGCGCAACGCAACATCTGTACATTCAATCTTGTTTATCAACACCAACGAGCCAAACACGCAAAAAATGTCGACAGTAGCCCGCGCCCTCCGCCCGGCTCGCCGCCTCCGCTTCACGGCGCCGGCACCCGTAACAGCGGCAGCACCCCTGATCCTCCGCAGGTGCTTCGCCGACAAGCCGCCCATCTACACCGAGTCCGCCGTCAACAACGAGCTCGGCGTTGGCGAGTTCGAGGGCATCAAGTTCCGCGTCGAGCCGCTGCGGCGCCAGGGTGAGGATGAGCGGACCATGCGCGCCCGTCTTCTCTGTGAGTTCTTATGCCTTGCTGTGTTCTCTGCGTTCTCACTTCGACGGCTGTTAAGGGAAGTGAAAGAAGAGCGTGGTGTTCGGAAGACAGGATCCGAGTACTAATCATATACCTTACGAAATAACAGACCAATCCCGCAAGCGCGGAACTCTCGAATCAGACCTCCTCATGTCGACTTTTGCAAACGAACACCTCCCGCACATGACCAAATCCCAAATGGCGCAGTACGACCTCTTCCTCGACGAGAACGACTGGGACATTTACTACTGGGCCACCCAAGAGGAAGCCCCCTCCGCCTCGGCCTCGACCCAAAAGACATCGTCCTCTTCTTCGACGAAGGATACCCTCGCCTCCTCAACCGTCAACGCAGCAGAATCCTACCGCCCCATCGGCTCCGGCGCCGCCTCGACAATCGACTCGGGCAAGAAGACCCCTTCCAAGCCGAAGGAGGACGTCCGCACGCAAGACGTCCCCGGCGAGTGGGCCAACACCGTCGGCTCCTTCAAGGCGCAGTACCGGCCCGTTCCCGTGCGGTGGCAGAGGAGCGAGATTTTAGAGATGCTGAGGGCTCATGTGCGCAGCCGGCGTGCGGATGGGACTGTGGGCGTGCATCGGGATGTGCAGGAGCGTAAGGAGGGCGGGTTGGGGTTCATGCCGCCTTTGTTTGACGTTGATGGGGCGGGGAAGAAGAACTAGATTCTCACCTCGCAGCCGAGAAGAAATGCGGAAGTAGCTGGCTTCAGGAGTTTGCGCTTGAGAGAAAGGGAGAGGCAGACAGAGGAGCAGAGGAGCAGAGGGGTTTGTAATACTGTACCAACAACATCTATCAGGAAATACCATCATTGGGTGGGGAGGGGAAAATCATGGGAGCACGGTACATTATAGACGGACGGCTTCATTGGAGGCCATTTTGCATATTCGGAGATGGAGAGAGAGTACGTGCCTACGAGGTAGATCGGCAGGATAGTAGATTACTGCAAGCCTTCATTGGAAGGTCTTGGCACGTCGAGCAATGTTGAACACCAATTTGTAATATGACAGCGACAGGAGGCTCTTAGCAAAGTTGCCAGCATAGAGACATTGCTGAACCAGAGAACCAGTGGATGATATCATGAAAAACAAGGAGTGGGGCCCTCCCTTGCGTTCAAATGTCTCAGTTGCTTACCTAACATGCTCGGGCTCCTCTACTCAAGGATGATTAGCTAAACAAAACGTAAATGGGCAGGCCTCCCAGGACTTGGACAAAGTGAATTGGGTCTTGCTGAATGCTGAATGCGGTCGGGACTGGGGACGAGGATCTTTGGAGAGACGGGCTCTCGGAGTCGCCCTGCTCTTCCACCGCTTTCGCCGCGACCGAGCAACTGTATTCCACTTGCCTTTCTTCTTTTTGCATTGTTCAATTTCCCAAACCGATGCCCTGAATATCCTCAAGTCCGTCTCCTTCCTTCCCTCCATCCGTTTTCTGAAATTCTTTTTCTCGCCCACAAATCGCAACGTCATCACCACGAAACATATCTCTCTCATCTCGCAGTGCTCCGTCCTTCCCGTTGACCCCGCCAGGCACCTACTTTAGGTACCTTAGCTTCTGCATAGTAGCGCCTTAGCTCCTGTCTTTCGGCATCTCATGCGCCACAGCCAAGCGACACTGCGCAGAAGCTGACTGACACAGCCACGCTACGTCGTCACCAGCGACAATCAGGTTGCGAGAGCCCACACCTCATAAGGTTGGACATCGAATACCCTCAACTTTCAAGCAGCGAAGACCCTCGTCGTAACCTTAGCCCTCGATACCACCGTCTCTGCCCTTCATTGGCACGACACTTCAAATACCTAATCCGATACATCACCACCACAAACTCACCCCGCCATGAGCTTCCGGGGCTTCCAGAAAAGCGTCATTCGGGTACGTGTGTCCACTTAATGAGGGGTCCTCCCGTGCCTTCCGCGCGGTGACGTGAAGACGGAACACAAATTTGGCTGACTGACGATCTCCTTTTCTCCACGACGAACAGGCGCCCCAGCAATTCAAGTCGCGCTTCAATATCGGCGAGCACACCAAGGATGCCGTCTACATCGATTCCGAGCGCAGATTTCAGGAGCTGGAGACCGAGACGAAGCGATTGCACGATGAGTCCAAGAAATACTTCGATGCCATCAACGGCATGCTCAGCCATCAGATCGAATTCAGCAAGGCCATGACCGAGATCTACAAGCCCATTTCCGGTCGCATGTCGGATCCCGACAGTCTGGAGGTTCAAGGCAACCCCGAGGGTATCCGTGCCTGCGAAGAGTACGAAGCCGTCGTCAAGGATTTGCAGGAGACTCTTGCGCCAGAGTTGGAGATGATAGAAAGTAGGGTCATTCGCCCAGCCAACGAGCTCCTCGATGTCGTCAAGGTCATTCGCAAGTCGGCAGCGAAGCGCGAACACAAGAAACTCGATTACGACCGACACAGACAAACCCTCAAGAAGTTGCAAGATAAAAAGGATCGGAATGCCAAGGACGAAAAGGCTCTATGGAAAGCGGAGAACGACGTGGAGCAGGCGACTCAGGAGTTCAACTACTTCAATGATCTCCTCAAGGAGGAACTGCCGCGCCTCTTTGCGCTCGAACAGCAATTCATCCAGCCTCTCTTCCAGTCCTTCTACTACATGCAACTAAACATTTTCTACACGCTGCATGAGAAGATGCAACACTGCGACATCGGTTATTTCGACCTGACGCTAGACGTGCTCGAGGCATTCCACAAGAAGCGAGGCGATATTCAAGAACAGGCCGAGAAGCTATCCATCGTGAAGTTCAAGACGACTGGTCAGAGGCGTCCGGCGAAATACGGCGGCCGTCCTGCAATCGAGGGCAAGCCTCAACACCTGCTTACCGCTGGACCTTCTTCCTCTTCAGCCGCCTCAACAACCTCAGCAGCGCCTACAAAGTACGGTGGTTACACCAAACAGGGAGAAGCCGCTGACTCGAACCCGCCGCCCCCATACTCTCCTCCGCCCACGAACGGAACTGCTGGTGGTGGACTCGCCGCCATCGCTGCAGCAAAGTCAAAGCCTCCTCCACCCAAGCCCAAGCCCAGCCGACTCAGCGGAGCGCCCGCGGCCGAGCAAGTCACCGCCCTGTACGACTACGCTGCACAAGCAGAGGGCGACTTGAGCTTCAGGACTGGCGATGTCATCGAGATCATCAGCAGGACAAAGAACGAGAATGAATGGTGGCAAGGTAGACTGAATGGAAAGACTGGACAATTCCCAGGTAAGATTTCATCACTAAACGGCATACATTGAACAAGAACAAAGGCTGACTTTCTTTGCGCAGGAAACTATGTGAAGTTGAATTGAGCGGCTAATAAAGACTCACAACCCCACCAATTACGATCGACACCCGTGATCTTCACCCAAATACACTGTGCCGCAGAGGCACATTAATGAACAACTGCGAGGGCATCGAAAGGGAAGCGCGAAATACTTGCATTTGGGATCTTCGGCGTACGCAGAAGGGACTGCCCATCATTTCGAGTCGGAAAACACTTGGGAGAGAAGGGACGGCAAAGGGAGAGAGGGAGGAACTTGGATGTCGGGGAGGAAGGAGGGGAAGGAAGGCTTAGGAGAGAGGTCGCTTTGCTTTTACCCTGGGAGAAGTGCCCATGTGACACGAGTTCGTTGGTCGCCTCATTTTTTCGAGGTTTTCGGTGTAGAGAGACCGGCGTCGGAGGGCGGCAATGGCATAGCAAAGGCGATCCCCATACCTACGCCTTTTTTTACGTTTGGCAATTGTTCTGTTGTCGAAAATCACAAGAACTTCCCGGATTCTGTGAGTATCATCGGCGTTACTGCAAGAATTGCGTGATTCCACATTCCTCATGAGACAGCCATCCCCCGGTTGATTTGCTTTTTACTGGTTTATATGTTTCCCGAGTGTCTCATTGTAGAAGCGCCGGGCGGGGGAGAAAATGAGGCTCTCTTCTACTTGCCCCATTTGAGTTTACAAACTTGTTCACCCGCCGTCCAGCCTGCTTGTAGCTCCATGTATGGTCCCGGCGTGGGAAGCAAGTCTTTGAAAGACTAAACAGTCCAGCCGCCCCAAGCCGCGCCCTTTGTAATGTAATTTCAGTGTGATAGGAGCTCTATCGGAATCGGCAAGGTGCATAGATAATACCAGGATATATGCAGGAGCCTCGTAGTTGAGGTCTGCCAGGATTGCGTCCGCGAGCCAAGACGTGACCTCCTCTTCCTCCGTACCCAAGCCCGAGTAAGCCCCTGACTCCGGGGTACCATTGCGTCTTTGGCTGGTCATTACGCCAGTCCTAACCTTGTGACATGCAGCTCGATTTTACCCACCCCTTGTGTTCTGGTTTGTCAAAGCCTCAAAGTGCATGTTTGACGTGGGACGATGGAGGAGGCTCGTCAGGCGAGGCGAGCGGGCTATCGACGGGCTATCGACGGGCTCTACTGTCAATCGGTCTATGGTCTTTGTACCGAGACAATCGGCGGGGGGGACTGGGAAGGCAGGCTAGCTGTCGATGTCCCGTGGGAAACGCTTCCGGGCCCCGAGGAGAAGGAGTAAGGTTCCAGAAGGAACATCAGCTCCCATGGTAGTATTGTCCAACGGGAGATCAGATTCGACTCCAATCCTACGCGCCAAGGGTTGGCTTGTCGCCTGTTTCGCCGGTCAACATGATACAAATGTAAGATGGAGTAATGAAGATAGATTTTTGAACGGGGGTCCGGTTAGCTCGCTTATGGCCAGAAACCCTTCGTGAATACCAGGGTAGGATAGGCAACTCTAGACTAGAGCCAGCCGAAATTCCCCCCCAATCTGCGAACCACTTCTGCTATTTCAAGCGGGGTGAGCAAGGGACTTCAGAGCAGAAAATAAGGCATCCCGGAACCGACATGACATCCCCCTGTCCAATTACAAAAGCAAAGAATCCAAGCGGACGCTACTGGATAGGTCCAGCGGGCTACCTACAGTGACTAGCAATAAAAGAGAGCATAGGTGCAGTTGTCATCGTCCGAAGCCCTCCGTCCCATGCCTTTTCGCGCCTTCAAATGGAGCAAAATACAGATGTCTGCACGGAATCGTCATCTTGGTAGCCCTAGTAGTAAAGTACCGACATGAGATCTTGATGCCGTGGGATGTTAGTAAGATGTCTAGAGCCTTTGATGGAGCTGCTAGCGGCAGGCTCCCATCAGCAACACCGGCACGGGACCGAATGATCCTTGCTAAACGCAAAGTTGAAACCAACAGGTTTACCAAGACCGTAGATGCTTTGCAGATAAGCGGCCGAGGCTCTTCTTATCCAGGAAGGCGCTTCTGACCTGCTGATGTCTGTCTCCACGTTGCCGGATGTTTGTGACGGGCCAGGAATGGACTCCTCACTGAAAGAGGAGTTTCTCGAACCGGGTGCAGACACCGTCAGAGACTTCGGCGTAGGATAGGGGCCTTGATCTTTCGTATCGTCGCTTTCTGTGGTTGCGTGGGTGCAAGGCGGTCTTGTTGGGCCGCCAGGCCACCGGGTGAGTCCGATGAGTTTGACGGAAGGGTCAAAACAGATGAAGACCAAAGGCCGTCTGGTTTGAGAACCCTTTTGCCCAACGGCGTATACCAAAGAGCGCTCGTCCATAATCCCTGAGATGTTACCGTATGTATTCTGGCCTTGAGGCCGGAGTATGTTATCCAATGTGTCAAGGTGCACATTTCGTTGGCTCACTTCGACCTCTGGTAGCCACCATGAAATCTCGTTAGGTCCATCGGTCTGGTGGGAGACCTGGGCAGAGCTGTCAGCGGGTAATTCCTTCGGGACCCGGCCGGTTCCGCTTTGAGGAAAACGAGAAATTGAACGTATTTGCGGTCTTTGCGTCATCGATTCGGCAGCGACAGGATCGTTTACCAAGTCGATGAATGTTTCGCAAGACTGATTATATGAACGTATAAAACATTGGCTCAGGGTGATAGTTGGCGATGTTGAGCCATCATCACCCCTGTGAACGTAGGTTTTGTCCCCTTGCTTCTCTAATGAGACTAGCTTAGTAGATGAGCAGCGCGGGGTTGATATATATGAGATTCGGTTCGTGTCAGCTTCGGTGTCCTCTTCGCCAGGGTCCACAGCAGGTGCCGCAAAAATGACCTCCTTTCGGTAGGCTGCTCTCGCGCTGGACGATTCGTTAACGAGCCACTCCCTTCGGCATTCTGACACCATGATATTCCCGGTGACCAAGTCTTTCGCGAGCTGCAATGTACTCCATCGATCGTCTATCGGCCCGTCTTTATGATCTCGTCTCAGCATGGAATCTTTCGACGCCAGCTGCATGTCTCCGGGTTGGGTACTGCCGACTGGCAACCGAAACCCGTAATAATACGACAGTGAATCAGTCTCGTATACTTCGAAACTGGCCAGGCTAGATAACCCATAAAAATAATCGTCGATGATTTCGAAGCAAACGGTAGCTCCGATATCTGACCCAGCTAGGTCATCAAGATCCAAGTGACCCGCATTCCATTGCTTGGTTCGTATATCAAATCGTCGTAGTACCCATCGTTTAAAGCCATCATCCCCAGTTACCGAATGAGTGCCGTAGTAAAGGTAGTCTTGATTGTTGCGCACGAATAGCTTAGAGGTTGACTCGAGACGTTGGGCTGTGAGAAGCGTCCTCTGCTCCACGTTGATTATAACGAGGCGACTTCGACCTTCGGTCTTAGGTGGGCTGTAAAGGCAGGACAAAACTCCGTGGGCGAAGTGGATCGGGCGAAACTTGTACTTGCTGCTGGCGAGATTCGCCCCCGGTACAGACTGTAGCAGCATCCGAGTATCGATGATATTCTCTATGTCCGATGAAGCATGCAAATTGAGGAGACGCAACACCTCGTAACCTTCCGTATAACAAAGAGTGCCGTTGCAATAGATGAAGTCGACAGCATGAGCGACAAGAGCTGTGGTGTATGGCTTGGCAGTGGTGATAGCGTCCCGAAGCTTAACCAGTTGTCGCAAGCAGCGAGCATACTGCTTTGAGGAGCGTGCAGCTTGGAACTCAACTGAGTACGGCGCGTGAGTCTAATCCACTAAGTCAGCGCGACCCACGAATGCATAGGACTGCTGTTGTAAGGCGACGCTCACCTCCAAGGCGACCCGGCAAATATCATCGTTGTCCACGAGGTACCTGAACTGTCTGCAAGCGAGGCTTAGGTTGAAAATGTCATGTAGATTCAGAGAATTTGCGATATAAGTCATAATCTCGATAGGCAGCCTTTGCATCCTCGCAAAGTCGACGGCTGCCATAAACCCGTCTCTTGAGCATACGGTCGAAGAGTTGTGTGATAGGGTGAAGAATTAGATGCTAAAGGTTCGTCAGGCAACCTGGGGTTTGTAGGCAAGGCAGCTCGAAGAGGGGATGGGCAGGTAGAAGACTTCCGGCCCAGGGAACTGACTGTCACTCAAGTCCAAGGCGGCTGCTTTCCATGCAGGTCGAAGCATCCATCGGGAGGAGCGACTGTAGCTTGTTTTAAGGTGATTGCCTTAGGTAGCAGAGCCTCATCTGTCCGATTCTGTCGGAACAAGAGCCCCAGCTTTCAGATACCCCTTCCCCCCCCCTTCCACACAAATTGAACCAAAACATGGTTCGGCCACGAATGGGCTTGGAGTGTACTCCGTACTCATAACCTCTCTCGTCGTTTCCATCTAAGTCCGAGACATGACTAATGCTTGTAATACCTAGGATCTCTGGGAAGCTAGAAGATATGCCCAGCTACGCTGGCCTGGCGACGTTGGGGGCTGGCGGGCAGTTTGCTTCGGTCAGTACATATCCGGCGGCGCAGCAAATAGGCCCTAAAATTTTAGATGCCCCAGGGTGTGTTATTACGAGAGCCTGCTTGGAGCCATGAACTTTCTCATATTGAGGTGTCCTAGAAGTGTTGAGGGAGTACGACAAGGCTTTGTACAAGGGTCCTAGTTGTACAGAGTCCAGCCCCCTTGGACTGGTTCCTGCCTTTAAATCTAACAGTCCCCTGATTCAGCAAAACGTAGGGACGCAATAATTTCCGACTTGGAGCTTTGCCCGCCATGTTTCCAAGTAAATTTGCGGCCGAACAACCAAAAATCAGGCTCTCTCCGAGGTCGCCCTTCATCAAGTTGGACCGTACAGAGGTGGAGAACCATCAAAGCTCGAGGCTACACTAACATTCCCTTGCTAGCATCTAGTTTATCCCTGGGCGCTGCAGTGGGTCTGAATCGCACCCAATCAAAGGGCTGTAAGATCCACACGGAGCCGCATGTCTCCTCGTCGCGAGACTGAATGCGGCAGGTTTACCCCCCCCCCCCCCAAAGATGAGCCCTTTCATTGCAACGGAGTCTGAACTACTATGACATGCGCGGCTCTGCGGCATTGCGGCATTGCGGCATTGCGGCATTGCGGCTCTGCGACTATTCACAAATACAGCACCAGGTGATGTTTTCTCTCAATGCTTTCTCCAGTCATCACAACCTAAGGTACCTCATGTCCTTGTTCGTGATCCTGGTAAGATGTGTCCGCCAAGGGCAATCTCTGCCTACACAACGGGATGCTTTCGTGAGGTCTTTTTTCTCACTTGATTATCTTGTTCTACTTTAGTGGAATGTTATGATTCTCATCTGCATGCCTTACTCACCATTCTCATAGGATCATCGCTGTGAGTCGATGAGCTTGAGCAGCATGAGAAAGCTATGAAATCTTGAAAATTCCGATTTGCGCCCGTCCGTCACCCTGTGCCGCAAGAATCAGTAGGCTATTGTCAAAGGAGTAGTCAAACTCGTCATGCCTGGTAATTACGAGGCTGGCTTAGTCGATTACTGTGGCATGAACACCAATTATGTATTGCTGGTGATCCACAATTGTGCGATGTCAGGTGCGTCAGTTTCCTTCATCATCATCGTCTCCTTCCCATGGTCGCCCGAGCCGTGAGAATATTAGTACGGCTGACCTATCTATAGCGGGAACACCATACCTATGTGGCAATGCCCTATTCGCTACACATTGTCCCACCCACTGGCGTTATCAGGTGATGCCCTGAGGAGCACAGGTCTTGCAACGGAGGGTGATTCTATCGACTCCTCATGGACCAGCCATGTGACACTAGCGGGTGTATCGTGCTCTCTCTGTGATACTGTTCTACTCGCGGAAGTGCAAGATTCGACCGAGCTAGCAAGCCGTATGCAGCGTGACAGTAGGGTTCCGCTGATGCCCAAAATCTTGGTGCTGACTTGGGCTCGAACACGCCAATCTCTCATTCCCTTGACTGGAGGCTTGAACAGCAACGCTATGGTTGAATAGTCGAAGAAAACTAGTAGCCGTCTAAGTTGTACCATAGCCTCGCGGAACACCGCCACATTAACTTTGAGGCCCTCTAGACTCCGATCTTCTTCGAATGATTCATCTTACCAAAGACTGGTAAGATCAAGGACGGCGACTGCTTCCAGCGAATCGGGCCCTTCCCTATTAAAGCCATATCGATCCTGAAGTCAGCCAGAAAACTCGAGGGGGTGTGTATATTTCTGAAAGTGTTACACGCTGCTCCGTACAAATTTGGGAGACAGTAGAACGGAGAATGTTTGTCTACATATGTTACATCATCCAGCTTATATCACTGGCAGAGGTTCCCACCAAGTGAAGCGATCCCTAACGCTAATTTTCTGCCCCGCGGAACGCCGTCATCGGTTTTTCATCCGCTTTTGCCCGGCTCGCTGCCAGGGACACGGGCGGTGCTTTTCTGAATCTCCGGCGGACTGACAGCCTTATATATCGATGAAGTCAAATGAAATGGGGCCTCAGCCAAAATCTTCAGCATTCTATGTACTACCTCGGCCCCAGGAAGTGCAGGGGTGGTCAGAAGCTATGGGTAATCCACACTGGGAGTTTGTCTGGCGAACCACAGCATCTGACCACCTTAGTGCTTACGACTTAACTTGGGCTTTGGTGCTGTTACCGAGAGTCCAGAGCATGCTTGGTATCTGGTCAGGCATTAATTATTATGTCATCCTCCGAATAAACGAATTATTTGGTTAGATGGTTTGAAGAATGAAACATAATCTCATACTCTATCTGGCCAGTAGATCTCAGCTTCGTCTTTCTTGCAATGCAGGCCCTATACGTCCGTCCCAAGGTACTTCCCACAACTGCGGAGACGCAAATCACCTCTTGCAACATCTCTGTGATGCCGGAGCCATCGATCCTCCGTCGCAAAAGTTCCAAAACTCAACTCCTCTTCAAGACCTCACTAGAAAGGCGTAGCTTTTCACCGTGCGGAGCAAGGTTCCGCACGGCTGCCGGCGCAGCACAAGGCAGCAGCATGCCGAATAAGACTTAGCTGTGTAGGATCTTCAATCCAGGTTTGGCAATTTTCCCCATTCATGCTTTTGCCTTTTCTAGCACACACAATTTAGTGAAAATTTTCTAAGAAACCCGCCGACTATGAGTCTCACCGACGAAATCGACCTACGGTCACCTTTCACCAGCGATGTCTTGTTGGAGGTTCGCACCAGCGTGATGAAGAAGATGCCCGGACTTGAGGTCACGTCCGGAATCGACAAGGATTTGAGGCATGGTCCCATTTACGTATCGCATCTCGGGCTCGAGGCGGACGAGCATGATCCAACTTTTCATGGTGGACCGGATAAGGCGATTCACGGTTGTGAGTACATTTACGATGCCTGTTAACGTGCTCTGCCATCATGGCGTAGTGCTGAAAGTTTGTCTAGATTGCTCCTCTCATTATTCTGGTTGGAAGGCAGAACATCCAATCGCAGCGGAAAGGTTTAGACCGGGAGCTTTTGGCGAAAACTTTGTCACTAGGCACATGAATGAGCGTAACGTATGCATCGGCGATGTCATCGCTGTTGGTGATGAAGTCGTGCTTCAAGTCAGCTTGCCACGACAGCCATGCTACAAGCTCAACCATCGTTTTCAATTGAAGAACTTTGCGCCCACGACATTCAAAACAAGTAGGACTGGCTGGTACTATCGTGTTCTGAAAGAGGGATCAGTCAAGGCTGGCGACGAAATCAGGCTCGTCGAGCGAAAATGGCCCAAATGGACCATTGAAAAGATCCAGGAGTACCTGCACAGGAACCAGACCGACGCGGCTATGAATGAGGAACTTGCGTCGATTGAGGACATGGGCAAAGAAAGCCGTGGCGCATTCCAACGACGAGTGGCCAAGGCCAAAGCTCAAGTCAAGAGGGAAAGGGGGGACCAGTGGAGAGACTTCAAGATTATCGAAAAGACAAGACAAACCCCCAGAATCTTGTCATTTGTCCTCGAGGCAGTCAACCCGATCGAGAACCCAGAATATCTCAACGAAGGAGCCCACGCAAAGCTCAGACTACCGAATGGTCTCCTTCGATCATACTCTGTCGTGTCCGGGAATCGCAACAGTTTCGAGCTCGGCATTGCTCTCGAGGATAAGGGCCGTGGAGGATCCCTCTACCTCCACAAGTCTACGACTGTGGGCGACATACTTCAGATTGGGCGAATGACTGCCGACGTAAAAGTTGCTAGTGCTTCGAGCAATCACGTTTTCATCGTGGGCGGTATCGGCATAACCGCCTTTTTGGTCCTTGCTGAGGCCTACCATGAAGTCCACTTCAATTCTGAGATACACTATGCTGTTCGCTCGGCCGACGACATACCGTTTCGTTCCCGGCTGGATGCTCTTGGGAGCAGTATTCGATTATACGATCGTTCTCAAGGCGAGCGAATGGATATTGGCGAAATCATGAAGACGCTCAAGTGGAACAGCCATGTCTACGTTTGCGGACCTAGGCGAATGACTGAGGCCGTAAGAATAGCCGCGGAGGAATGCGGCCTCGACGAGGGCGACGTACATTACGAAGCCTTTTCTGCCGACACTTCGGGAGACCCGTTTGAGGTAGAGATTCTGAACCGGGACGGCAAGATTCTGAAGGTTGGCGAGGAAGAGACGCTGCTGGAAGTACTCAAGCGAGAGATCGGAGGCGATGTGGAGAGTAGCTGTGAAGTCGGCAACTGTGGGACCTGCAAGGTTACACTCAAGAGCGGTCGAGTTGATCACAGAGGCACAGCTCTGTCTACTGACGATAGACTTGAATCAATGCTAAGTTGCGTGAGTCGTGGTATTGGAAGGATAGCCATCGAGATTTGATAGTACACAAGTATTAAATTGCTTTTTGCTGGATCACTTCTAGATCTTTGGCTTTACTTTGATGACCTCAATTCCTAGATATGATCAATCCCTATGAGAAACTTGGTAGTGATCAATCGGGAGCACTTAGTATCATCGCGCTCCAGTTGCTTAAAAGATTAAGCATGAAGGAATTCGGCCAGGTAGCTCCCTACCTGAGCCATCCGGAGACGGATCCGCCCACCGACCTCGGTGTATTCACTCTCACCGACGATAAGCAGGGAGGGGTGTGCTGCACGGGCCACTTCGAAGAATCAGACCAATGAGATGGTTTTCTGATAACGATCGAAGACCCACTTGACTTTTTTCTCAAGTCGACGATCCGACAACAATTCTGGCTGCTGAATCTTACTTCTACAGGACGACAACATTCCTCCGCGTTGAGCCGAATTCCCGCGAACATGTCAACCGCCGATTCCCAAGGGGATGGCTTCTTAATTCTGCCAGTGAAGCTTCCAGCACTTCCTTCTTGCCCCATCACCGCTCTTCACGAGATTCGCGTTCGACGAAATGCGCCCAAGATCCCGACCGAGATCGATGACCGAAGTCTCTTCCTCAAGAACGTTCCCGTAGACAGCACCGAAGCTCATTTTCGCCAAGTATTTAACGCACTCGTCGGTCCCGGTCGTTTTGAGGGCATTGCATTTGAGGATGATCGGAAGAATGCCGCAGCTGTCGACCCGGTCAACGCTGCGAAGATCATGGGTCTAGGCAAGAAGCGTAAGCGCGGCGAACAGGAAGCAGAAGAGAGAGCCAAGGAGGAAGAAATTGCACGACTTCCCGAGACTTGGACGAGGAGGCTGCGAAAAAGCGGTAGCAGCGCCATCGTTCTTTTCGCTGATGAAAAGAGCGTCGAGCTCGTGCTCAAGGCCATAAAGAAAGCGAACAAGACGACGAAGTTCCCCGTCTGGGGTCAAGGTGTTTCCGAAGATGAGCCCGAGCTTGGATCTGAATGGGTATCTGCACATATCCAGCTGTCCCGCTGTGACAAGGCGGCAACGCAGAAGTCGGTCCACGCCTTCTTCAACGTTTTCAACCGCAAGGAGAAGGAAGCGGCGGAGATGGCCAAGAGGTTGCGCAACGAGCCAGACGAGGACGGCTTCGTCACAGTTGTTCGCGGTGGACGTGTCGCTCCGGCCAACAAGAACGAAGCCGAGGAAGCCCGACAGAAGATGGTTGAAAGGGCGTCGAAGAAGAAGGACGAGACCACGGACTTCTACCGCTTCCAACTGCGCGAGCGTCGCAAGGCGGAACAAGCCGCTATGCTGAAGAGATTCGACGAGGACAAGAAGAAGGTTGATGCTATGAAGGAGAAGCGCGGCAAGTTCAGGCCCGAAACATGATTCCACAGAGGGACTTTCCAACACATCAAACAAGATACCCATGTACACAACATCCCCTTCAGTGTAAGTGGTCTTCTCTTACTCAATTATCTTTTCCTTTAGATGATGACGCACGCGGGGCCAGCGAAGCACCTTGAGGCGAAGGGCTTGTCCCAGAGCCAGTGGGGCAGTGCCGACAAACACCGCGTTATACATATCTTCTCAACTTGTCTGACATTCCAATTGGGATTTTCTTCTTTTCTTCGACTGGTATCTCATGGAAAAACAAAGACTTACGCAATGCTAGACTACCAGTTTTAGAGAGCAGGCAGGAAGGCTCCTATAACAGCAAATGACCTGGTGTGGTGGTCATAGAACTATGTCCGAGGAGGTCTTCCATCCACCTGCACGCCTTTTCGCCCGGGTGTGAGCGAGGTCGAGTGGATAGAAGGAGAAAACCTGCACCCAGTCGAGTCGGAAATAGAACCGCCACGGCACAGATAGTCACGGACTGGTCTGATTTAGGCGACGGCCACGCCGCTCAGCGTTCACGGCAGAACAATACAAAACCACGTGTGTGGCAAGTCGGTGCCTCTCAGTCATGGTCCTCTCTCTGAGCACATTTCCTGCAACTCTAGACCGAGTAGCACGGTGTTATTTACGGGTTCCGGACACCCATCGCTTGATTAAACACTCCTCTGCGTAGCGCGCGGCGTCGATATTCTCTTCGACCCTACTCCTATTTAGGCCTTCAGATTATTTCACTTGCTTGCCCCTGTGGCCTTCTGCCGTTTCCCACCTCGCCTTGGTTCCAGTTCCGGCACGATGTTTTAGCGCTAGAGCTGGGGTATCACACTTCTCAACTGGTTATAGTGGAAGAGTGCTCGATGCGCCAGTGTTCGGCTACCACATGGCTGGTTCTCACGAATCGCAACGAACGGGTGAACTAGACGAGAAAATTTGAATCTTGGGGGCCACCAAGGTTTCGGTTCCAAAATGCGCACGTTGTCCACCACTCTCTCGCAACCGCTTCCTGGTGACAGACAAAAGATCTATTTCATGCATATCTGCCTACTCTGCGCCGTACGTCGACGTCTATTTCATTGAAAGATGCTGGTACAATGCAGGTTTCCGACTAACTCGCCGAATTCACCTAACAGGGCTTAAATGATGCTGACTGCCTCGGCGTTTGTGTCTAATTCGGCATAGATTAAAGTAGGAAAAACAGCCCCGCAAACACTCACGATTTCATCGTGGGGCATCACTCTGAAGCCTCCCATGATGTCTACGTCTCCCACATTGCTACTGTTGAGCATCGAGACCCTGCCAAGCATTGCCATACTTGCGCACCGATCATTATCGTCTTCAGCTACATCCGAGAATAGCATCGCACTCGAGGATGGCATTTCCATCTTCGCCTGAAGTCGGGTCTAGCGTGGGAAACAGAATCCTGCCGCTTTTCACACGGGCTTTGACGCGATGGGCCGCGAATGCTAAGTAAAGGATTCATGACAAGGCGAAAACCACACAAAATTGAGCTGACGACTCATGATCTGGTAGGTAACAACGTATCCGTACTGCGCCGCAGTCTGCTTTAATGAGCATAATGCACGGTACTTTGAGAATAAGAGGAACCCCTTGTGTTTTATCACGATTGTGTGTGGGCGTACCTGCAGCTTATCCTACCCAGGTCGTTTGCAACCCGAAAGAGCGGCTGCATCAAGTCGAGGGGAGTTGGGGATAGCCCAATTAGCCGCAAAAGCCACCAGGTCCAGCCGCACCTCGCTCCTCACGGCGGGTACCAGGAACAATAGTTGCCAACCAACATCCCCTTTCAGTTAGTCCATCGGCCGATGCAAGTCGCGAGACTAACACCATAACCGCATCGCTCGACGCCACCGTGGCACCCATCGCGGGATCCCCCCAATCACTGTCAATCTTTGCCATTTCTGTAATTTCCTATGCCCCTTTCCCGCACCTGATTCGGCGTAGTCAGGGTAGACCCTCCGGCTGGTGCCCGGACCTCACGATGCTTGGCTCTGGCAGCCATCATCGGAGTCGTGTATACTCAGCAGGTATTGTGAAGACGACTTCCTTTGCAGCCCTCCTTACTCTTCCGGGATACACAGACTGCAATGGCGAGCAGTCCAGCACGACCAGACAGGCCATCCAAGAGTCTGTTCGGCGGGCCCTAAAGGAGGATGTTTCCAAGATGGGAACCTCACTTAGCCCTTCAAGGACGTCTAGCCCGCGATGCAGCTGTGCCTCTGGCCGTGTAAGTGGTCTGCGTACCAGCGGCACGGGACAGCTGCTCGAGCATTCACAATGGAATGGCAGGACATCTTAAGCGGCACCTCGTCCGCCTACTATGAGCTCCGTCCCGTTCACCTCACGCATCAATCCGCCAACCGCCGTGTCGTCCAGCACCTCCTAGAGCAGCCCTGCTCGTCCAACGACGTATCTCACGTCAAACCATTCGTTAATTCTCTATACACACTATACTAAGTCTCTCTTTTGGATAATTATAATACAGCCATAATGGCACCTTCACTCTTTACCCTTGGCACGGCTGCCCTGGCCTTGGCTGGTGACGCTGTCGCTAAACAGTTCGTTCTCGATGACACATACGACTCCACCAACTTCTTTGACAAGTTTGACTTTTTCGAGAGCAAGTATAACACGGGCGATTACAACGACGTTGATCTCACTTCGGGCTACATCAACTATCGCACCCGTGTCGACGCCCAGAAGCTGGGTCTCATCAGCAACACCGGCGGCGAGGTCTACGTGGGCCCCGATGCCCACAACATCACCGAGTTCCCCGGTGTTGGTCGGTCAAGTGTGAGGCTTGAGAGCAAGGCCGTTTACAACAAACATCTCATGGTTGCCCGCTTCTCTCATCTTCCTAAGCCTGTCTGCGGTGCCTGGCCCGCCTTGTGAGTTCTCTCCCCAGGTGTGATCGTCTAGGCCTCACAGACTCACACCATTGCAGTTGGTCATATGGTTCTCCCTGGCCTAAGAAGGGTGAGCTTGACTTCTTCGAGGGCTGGAACAACGCGGTAAGGATACACTCTGCAGGCTATAATCTTATAGTTTTGCTGAACACCTATGACAGGCTGCCAACAAGCCTGCTGCCCACACCTACCTCACATCCGAACAGGGCCAGTGTATTATCAGTGAGACTGGTCAGACGGCCAAGGTCAACACGGCCAACTGTGATCAGCAGGCTCCTGGCCAATACATCAACGAGGGGTGTACCACTACAGCTACCTCTGCTGACCCTTGGGGCTCCTCTGATGGTGGTGTCTGTAAGTGAAACCAACAGCTTGGTCTTGGGATATCTCCAGCTAACTCTTCAACTATAGATGCTGTTGAGTGGACAGACGACTACATCAAGTTCTTCGGTAAGGAGCCTTCCAAGTCCTAATCAGAATGACGAACTACACTGGACAGACGTCTAACATCACATTTAGCCTGGACCCATTCCGCAGCTCCCAAGAACATCGGCTCCGACTCGCCTGATACCTCCTCCTGGGGAACTCCCTCTATGCTCATCGCCAACGACAAGTGCAACATCAACAGCCACTTTGCCGACCAAAAACTCGTTCTGAACATTGACTTCTGCGGTGTCCTCGCAGGCAACGAGTACATCTGGAAGGACCAGTGCGCTGCGTCTACCGGCCACGCTGTCTGCTCGTCGTATGTCGCGGCGAACCCCGGTGCCTACAAGGACACCTACTTCAAGATCAAGGACATTCGTGTGTTCAAGGAGGGCAGCAAGGCTGTGACGACTTCCTCGTCTGCTTCGCCTACCTCTACCTCGACTTCCATCTCGACTTCCACCTCGACATCTGCCACAACGTCGTCTGCCTCCACGTCATCAGCCTCGACGTCGTCTGCTTCGACGTCGTCTGCGTTTACGTTGACTACGATATCCACCTCGGCATCTGCTTCTGCATCCGCCTCTGCGTCCACCTCAACCTCAACCTCAACGAGTGCCTCCATCTCTGCTTCCGCTAGCGGCTCGGTCACGGCAAAGGATACGTCTGTCAGCACCTCTGACAACGCCTCTGCTTCTGGCACCACATCCGCCTCTGCATCTGCAACCGCATCTATCTCTGGTTCTGCCTCTGGTTCAGCCACTGGAACTATCTCTGGAGCGGCTGCTGGATCTGGATCTACTTCAGTCTCAGCTTCAGCATCTGCCTCTGGATCCGGCTCCAAGTCAGCCTCTGCTTCCATCACTCCTACTGACCCGATCACCACAAGTGCCACTGGCACGAAGTCAGCCACCGCCAGCGCATCCGGCTCCATCTCCATCAAGTCCAACAGTATGACCGAAGAGGATGTCTGCACCGAGAGCGATGCCATCACCACCAAGACCGACGTCACCAGCAAACAGACTCAGGCAACTTCCACAACGACTCCCCCCGTTGAGCGCACGACCTCGACAGTCTACACCACAAAGGTTTCTACCATCACCGCGTGCCCACCCTCCGTCGCCGACTGCCCAGCCCGCCTGGGCAAGGTCACGACGCAGACCATTGCCCTGTACACCACGGTCTGCCCCGTATCGTCTGTCCCTGCTCCGAAGCCCGCCGAGCCGGTCAAGGGCAACGATAAGCCCAACCTTGGCCCTGGCCCTGCGCCTGCGCCTGGTGTCTCGACCACCACATTCACCACCGTCTACACGATCACCAAGTGCCCTCCCTCCGTCACAAACTGCCCCGTCGGCAGTGTCACCACCAAGGTCGTCACCACCTCTATTCCCTTCGCCGGCACCTCCGTACCCATCGTTACCAAAGCCGTCTCTACGGCCCCCTCGGGCCCCAACTCCGCCCCCAGCGTAATCAAGACCCTCTCCTTGGTCTCCCCCTCCAGCGTTCCCTTCAAGCCTAGCGCCTCCGGAGGTAATAGCACTGTCCCCAAGCCTCCTCCCGGCTTCAACGTCACCATCCCGGCGACCAAGCCCACCACGCTCACCGCCTCCAAGCCCTCAGGAACGGCCCCAGGTGCTTCGACAACGGGCTGTTCCGGCGCCAGCTGCCCTACGAAGCCGGCTGTCGTCGTCAACGCGGCCGTCCAGGCGGGTGCCAGCTTTTTGCTGATGGCCATTGGTGCCCTCGCTGTCCTGGTTTTGTGAGTGGATGCAAGACTGCAATACTGTTTTGATGGTGCAGATATCAAAAAAATGTTTAATGTATATTGAGGTACATGTAATTTGGTACAAAGAGATCGATCATAATCATGATCTTTCCTTTTGTCAATATCAGTTCATGATCAGTAAGTACATCAACTTAGACTTGGAGATGTATAAAATCTAAATGCCCGGCTGTAATGCGACTCTTTATTGAAAAGCATCAAGCTTCATGGCGTGCACCGAGACTTCATCCAAGACCAGTTCCCAAAGAACTTTGTTTAGGCACCTTAGGGTTAGCATTTCAGGTGCAGCGTGTGAGAATCCAAGGATAGAACGGAGTGATGACTATTGTCGTTGAGAACTTCCAATTTTTGTCTACTGGCTTTTTGACCTTCAAGGGTCTTTTTTACTAATCTACATGAATGATGATGATGATGCGTGATACCCCCGTTCGCTTCCGTGAACCCCCCCCCAAAACCGGTTCCAGGGAACCGAGGAGTTCCCAAATAAGACAATTCCAGGCACTAATTCACTGCGGCGCAGCCCCTGTCCCGCCGCCCGCACAACTGAGGTAATCTTCTTCTTCTTCTTCATTATCAAGTGTCGTCCATTCTTGCCATCCCGCTCTCAATAGCAGCCTCCAAGCGACGAACTAGCTGTGACGTAGTCTCGATTCATAGGGGCGGAAAGCCTTGTGCCATGGGCAGATGGACCCTATCTGCCACCGCCTTTCTGCATCTTGGTGATTTCGGTCTGGTAACGGATCTTGAAGCCGTTACACAGCGCTCTCATGTCGGGGTAGGCCTGCTTCAGTAACTCAAAGCCGCCCGGAATAACACGGACAGGCCATGAGTTGACACGCGATCCACGACTCGCCTTGAAGCACAGCCAGAAGTAGCCGGGGTGCTTGGGATCAATGCAGAAAGCATAAGCGGACCGGTTGGGGTTGGCATCGATGTATGTGGTGAGCCATTTCTCTGTGTCGCATGGTTAGCTTTGCTCACTGGATAGAAGATTCCGGAAGCGCATACCGAGATCCGTCTTGGACCGCTTTTCGAACTTCTCATGCTGCATCATCTCATCCACCTTGCGAGACATAGCCTCAATGTGTTCGTGGATCAATTCATCAAGATCCTTGTAAGTGAACTTGCCACCCACCCTGAGAAGCTTGCCGACAGAGAATTCCGTCTCCTTTTGGAGCTCAAGCACATCGACATGTTGGAAGACACCATCGGCAACCTTCCAGGTGATAGCCAGGTGGTCGTTACCTTTGGAGGAGGGTCGGATGATGACCTCTCCGGCGGCTTGAGTACCAAGCCATTGCTCAGCTTCCAATCCGTTGAACGGCTTGAAAAGCGGGTGCTTGATGACTCTTTGGGTGCGTCCGGTGGTCTTGTCTTTCTCGCGAAGTTCTTCCTTATCGGCAGCCTCTAGTCTCTCGTCCCACTGTCCATGACCGTGGTACAATTGACGCTTGTACGGGCGCTTGACTTCGGCTTCCCTTGCAGAAAGCTTGGCCAAGAAGTCCTTGTAGTTTACCTCAAGAACCTTGGCTTGCACCGTCTGTCCGGTCGTCAGGATGCCTCTGACGCGAACACCATCAGGGCCATCATGTGACTCGATGCGGCCCTCTATACCGCAGTCAAGCTTCACTATGGCGAAGTCGTCCTTCACTACTCGGATATTGACGGGGATGATCATGCCCTGAGCGAGAGTGTCCTTGGTCTCGCCAGTGAACATAGTGAAGATCTCGTTCGGGCCGAGGCTTGAGAAGTTTCTGCGCAACTCTTCGTAGGGGGCTTGAAGCTCAGCTCGAATCGTCTCGAGCGTAGCGCGCTTCCTCTGGCTGTAATTGCGCTCGAGTTGCTCTGCATACTCCTCGAGGATAAGCTCATTGACCTTCTCTTGTTCGTCCTCCTTGAAGAGTTTCCGGACAATAGCACCAGGTCCATTGTGATCCGTCTCTGCCTTGACGTCCTCTTCATCAAGTTCAAGGGCGTCGGCTGCCATCTTGCGACCTAGCTCGTAGTCCTCTGGGTGAACACGGGTGTTGTCAAGGGGGTCCGAGGTGGGGTTGGTAGCATCGTAGTCGATGAAGAGGAAACTGGCGCAGTTGTTCCAGACTCTTGGGCCCACGACTGGCAGCTTACCACTGTCGGGGTCGCCAACCAGCTCATCTCTGCTGCCGACGGCTCCTCCGTTCGCGTTGATAGCTTTGATGACGCTTGTAGCCTTTCGGGGACCAAGACCGGCGACATAAGGCAGGAGATTCGCGGTGTAAGAATCGCCCACAGCCTCGTTGATGTTGACACCACACAGATTAACCATATCGACCATTGCTGACTCAAGGTGCTTGAGAAGCTTCTCCTGGGGTAGCAGATTTTGACAAGGATGGAAAGCTAGCGATGCAATGTCTTTGCCAAGTGCCGCATACTCTTTGAGGGGGTTTTGCATGTAGTGCGCCAAAGCGATGCAGTATCTCGTAAGGGAACTCAGAGTAGGGTGCTCAGCAACTGCTCGGGGGCTGTCCTTGTAGAGACGAGCCACCTCGTCATTCACCACAATAACTTCAAGGGGCTCAGTGCGGTACTCTCCGAGCTCGGGGTCATCAAACTCGGGCCCCATCAGGCCCTTTTCGCTGATGAGACTTTCCAAGTCTCTCACAAGCTTCTGGGTATCTGCAGACCATCCGCTAATACCGATAGCATCCGGGCGACGCCTGTTGACGATCTCGACGAATTCTTCGCGAGCTCGCTCATCACGAGCTAGATTGCCCAATTTGCCCTGCTCAATGACCCGACCATCTTCTTCAACGGAAGCCCAGAGTGTGGGGTCGCGAGCTGGATCGGCCATGCCGTTGGACAGAGTGATGATCCGGGGCAGTGTACCAAGAATCATACCCTTGGGCTTGTATGGTGCTTGGTCGAGTCTCTTTGAGTATTCTTCGCGGCAGGCTTTTAGGACTTCTTCTTGGCATGCAGTTCGAAGAGACTCCTTGACGCCCTTGGCAATGATCTTTGACAGACGGGGAACGATGAGATCGAGAACCTTCTGACGTTCATCATTCCATCGATCCGCAAGTTCACTGTAGTTGTCTGAAATGAACTCTTGGCGCAAGGAACGTTTGAAGCCCTCGTCGTTCTCCAATGTTAGCTTCACCTCGATGAGACCCTCTTCCTCAGCCTTCATCATCTTGAGGTACAGATCTGGCTGGCGAGCAACGTCGGCGATTGTCTGGTTGATGAGGTATTTGACCTCGTAGAATGGGTGTGAATCGTCGATCTTCTTCAAACCCTTCTCTGTCCGGCGACAGCTGATTTCACCCATTTGGTAGAAGTTGACTCTGAAGTGCTTCCGCATACGAGGGTTGACGAACAGCTCCTCTGCGTACATCTGACGAGCAGCGTACATCACCGTATCGCCGGTTTGGAATTCTTCATCCGTAAGAGAGTCGGCGAGGTCGTCTGGAAGCTGACTGTCGTCGTCGGCCCAAACCTTGTTACCCTCGCGAAGAGTATTTTGGGCGAACCGATCCGGAGTGATACCGTAGGCACGGACAAAGCCGATAGCCTTGCTCCTCCTGACTCTGTCAACAAGATTTGATTTAGAGCCTGGGCGCTTCATTTGATTGCCACTGCCGTTCATGAAAGACAGGTCCTTGAGCTCGGCGGTGTATTGGAAATGGAGGTAGTCTTGCAGATCTTGCAGTTCTTCCATGGTCGCAGCTTGGGGAATCATATCCTCGAGCACATCATCCTTGATGCTAGCAGCAAGTTTGAGGCTCTCGAGCGTTTTTTCGAGGGCGTTCCGCTTTTCGATCAGTGAACGAAATTTGATATCGAGCTCCAGAATTCGCCACAAGTCGTCCTGAGTAAGAAGCTTGTCTGCGCTGACGATCCATTCAGGGGCATCGGGGTCGTCGCGATGGTCGGGGTTTTTGGTCTTCTTGGCGTGGATCAAGTAATCCTTGCGATGCTGAAAGACGTACGGGACCTCAACGTCGTCAACGACAAAAAACTCGAGGACCTTGCCGATAGCCTTGGTGAAGGGTCCATGTAGTTCGGACTGGAGCAGCTTTTTGGGCCACATCAAACCCGCGATCCACCGGGCCTCTTCCTTGAACTGCTCAGCGCTAATTTGCAAGTGTTTAAAGGGCTTTCGGTCCAGCTGGAATCTTTCAGGCTCATCTGTGAATCGGATCTGGTTGTCCTCGTCGGTCAAAAGCTTCTCCTTCAACTGTGAAGGCTCAAACACGTCCTTGAGCTCAATGACCTGCTCTTCGCGTTCGCGGTCTTCCTGCTCTTCTTCTAACTGAAGAGCCCATTCGTAATCCTCGCCGTTGCCGAAGATTGCTTCCATGTCCTCCAAAGCGTCTTTGTCGAGGCCGGAGGTATCAACAACACCTCCAACCCCTCTGTCGCGGGGCCGGGCGACTTCGGCATCTTCTTGCTGGCGCGCTCGTTCGTCTTCATCCTCCGGATAGTCCTCTTCGATGAAGTCTTCGAACTCGTCGGCCTGGGGGCGATAGTTCGATCGGCCGTAGGGTCTTTGGTCGTTGGCTTCCTCGTCGTCATCCGAGAACATGTCCTCTAAGCCGCGTCGCTCGGGGCCACGGTCATCCTCGTCCCGATGACCTCGTTTGAGACGCTTGAATTTCGGCTACAGGCACGTTAGCACAATTGTTAGCGATGATCCATGGTGGACATCATACCTGTGTTGGTGCTCTGCGCTCGATTTGTTCCCCAATGAGTTCCAAGTCATCCTCGTCCAGCCGTTCTTCTTCTTCCTTGTCGCGATGCTCTCGCTTCCGCTTTCGCTCGTGAGCATCTTCGTCCTCACCTTCTTCTTCTTCCTCATCTTCGTCGACAATGAATCCTTCACGAATCTGAGGGGAAGGAATAATTAGTCATTCATCAAGGTAATTTAAATCCCAATCGCCTACCTTGCGCGCTTCCTCCTCATCTTCATCATCCTCTTCCTCTTCGGAGGAGTCCTCAGGGGCA